TTTCTCTGGCAGAAATCGCCAGAATTGGCTGAAATTGTACTGGATTGTAGCCAATTAAAAGACGAGTTCGTGGCTATTTTTAGATCAATTTTATTGGTTGAGATGACTTCACAACCCTCGGCCAAAGCTTTCAACTCAGCCCAGCCAATCTTTAAACACCCGTAACTCAGTCATTTCTTATCCAATCAAGTTCAAATCAAGCGCAAACGACTCGTCCCGTTGCGTCGATACTGCTAGAGCTAGTGGGCGGAGTTCCGGCAGCAAGACGATGTGGAATGGCAAGATCGGGATGTGGCCGTTCGTGTCCGAGGTCCCTGTTCAACGAACCAACAAGAACGGACATCGTGGGACCATAGCCACGTCCCCAATCATAGTGACGAAGCCTGTGTACCGCGTTTTTCTCGTCAACAATGTAGGCCGTGAATCAAGCAACTTTGACCTCGACGGCGCGACGTGCCTGTTTACATTCAGCAGGACAATGCGCGCCCACATATTCAAGTTGACGACTTGGCAGTGCCTACTGCTGCTACCACTGGCGGCTGGAGAATCCAACTTGTCGCCCAGCCAGCCATGAGTCCCGACTTCAATGTGCTCAACCTAGGGCTCTTCAATTCAATCCAAGCACTGCAGCATCGCCAGGTGGTCACCTGCATCGACGATCTCGTTGCAGCCGTTCATGCGGCCTTCGATGAGCTGGACTTTTGTACTTTGGACAAGACGTTCGTGACTCTTCAAAAGGTCATGGAAGAGTCTTTGAAGGTCGGTGGAGACATAACGTACAAGTTGCCACGTTTGCACAAGGACAGGCTTGCAAAACAGGGATTGCTGACATCTCAATTGGCGTATGACTCAGACGTTTATGTGCCATCGAAGCGATGAATAGTCTGATGGACTTCGAGCGTAGAGTAGATAACCTATCGAGTGTGCTTGAGTCGTGTGTGATTGATGGTGCAATCAATACGTCGAATATTGATCAACTCTGCACAATTGTGCAGGATTTGAGCACAGATGAAAACTAGGCTCATGATATCATGTTCACTATCGTCGTATAATCTCAAATGTGAATAAAAATACACTTTTGGCATTTTGAAGGTATACAAATATGAAGATAAAATTCTGTCGAAAAGCAATGGTCTCCACCTTAACGGAACAGAAGAAGTACTACGTAGTACTATTAATAGTACAACATTAGTACAGTATGTGAATCGGCGGCCATGGATGTACAGTACTAGTACGCGTGATCCGTTCGAATCGCCAATTTCAATAATATATTGTTGTTGTTTATCTAAACTGGAGCGACATGGAGAATCAAATGTACACAAGAATCGGCAGAAGAATTGAGCCAATCAGATTGCAGGAAACCATCACCGACATCAAACTAGTGTGTGACCGAAATTAGTGTGAATACAATCACTGGGACACTTTTTCACATTCAAAAATCAGTGCAAAGAATCGATCGATATTTTTGGCGAATCAGCACAAGAGTCCAAAATTGGGATAAAAGGACAATACATATATAGTAGTTTGTTGTACCGATATCGTTCCGGTGGATTTCCGCGTGCTGTTGGCAGCGCAAGCTGGATTAATAACGTTAGGGAATCCCCACCCGTAAGACTGTATAATTGGACTGTAAAATGCCGTTCTACAGTTCCAGTATTTTGATTTTCGTCAACCCCAGCGGTAAAACGGTAAAAATTCCGCATAATTATCATATCCGGAGATGAACCCGGAGGCATTAAACCTTACGATCAGTAGATGGGTTAATGAGCAGCAGATCAAGTAAATTGGAAATAACCCATGCGACTTCCAATAAAACTCACCACTTGATTAGAGATCGACTAACTGACGAACTACTCGATCTCCGACATGATGTAGTATCACAATTTCACCCACTCATACTATACTCATACTATTCGGAATTTTCCTACTACCTGATTCTTCGTACATTGTACTAACAAGTTACCAAGTCCACAACTTTCTTCAGCCGTCTCACATCGTTTTCGGAGGTGAATCGATCCTGTTCGTACCCAAAACGTGTGCAAGTTGATTTCATGGTGGCATATACGAAGCTGGTGTGCAAGCACATTGAATTTAACATGAGTTCGTACTGTAATCGCTGCGATATCCCTCTACAAGTGAACCTACCACAACCAAAGTATGACCGAAATATTACGTTATAGGATAAAATCTTTGAGATCCCATAGATGAGTACATTTTATGTAAAGGCTCGGAGAATCCGATAGAAAGCGTCGCCAAAAATGTACTTATTAAGGCGATTCGATTAAAACCTGCATTAAAAACACAAAGTAGGTTATACATGTATCCACATCATCGAGGTTGGCGCCCAAATCTGCACCTTTGGGGGGAATCAGCTTGTTGCAATTCACTTCCCCTCACTTTCCATTTCGCCAGACATGCCTGTGAACACCAACGCCGTACTCAACCGTCTCCAAGACCAAGCAGTGCGAGATCAATCCTACCTTGAGTCATGCCTGCATGACTTTGGTGAGGTCTCGCACTTGCGTGACGACTGCGAGGACCCCCCCGAAAACCCAATGATGGACAAGTTCTTGATCAACTCGGGCTCTGAGGGTATTAGATCTATGACTAACTTTACCGTTACCGAGTTCGAGTCGCTATGGGCGATGGTAGACAATGCTATGAACACTGCGTGGATGGAAGGTCGTGGCCGGCGCTCAACGACTAGCCCCAAGGACGCGCTATTTATGGCCCTCACTGTGTTGAAACACTGTTCAACATGGGAAAAACACGCAGCTGACTTTGGGTACAAGGCACCAACCTTGGAGAACTCATCATGCGTGTCCTACACGCTGTTCAGCCTGTGCTCTACGGCGAGTTGATTCGAGTTCCATCCATGTCCGACCTGTCCAACTCGGATCGACGATTTGACCATTTTCCGTACGCGTTGTATGCAGTCGACGTGAAGTTTCAGCCAGCACAGCGTCCAACGGGACGCTTCGCGGAGCAGAAACATTACTTCAGCGGGAAGCACCATCTATACGGTTATAAGATCGAGGCAACCGTGTCACCGGAAGGCCGATGTGTCGCAATGTCCGAGAGCTTCCCAGGATCTGTGCATGACCTGACGATATTGCACACCCGCACTGCCAATCACGCGACCAACCTGTTGAAGTCGGCGGGTGAGCAGGATGTGCCAGACTATGGTGAGTTGAGTACGCAGTACCAGGGGTCGTGGGCGTGTTTGGTCGACATGGGTTACATCAGAATTGCCCACTCGCTGCGGGGTATTCATCCAAAGCATCGCCCGGCGCACGGCGTATTGGATGCCCATGACATGGATCGAAACCACGACATCTCCTCCGATCGGGTGGTTGTGGAGAACTTTTTCGTTCGCGTGTGCATTCTCTGGAAGATTTTCTTGGCTACGTACACGTGGGGCGAGAAAAACTACAACACGATCCAGCGCACGACGTTCGCATTGACGAACTTCCACCTCTCGTTGATGCCATTGCGCGCGGAGGACGAAGGGTTTTACAGGTCTGTAATTGCTCGTTACGAGCAGATGGCGAATGAGAAGAAGCGCAAGCGCAGTGAAGCTCAACGCCGCTATCGTTTGAATCGCCAAGAGCGATTGTCCATTGACAGCAACCGCGCTACACGCTATCTGTCGCCATC